ATTCGGAAAGAGGGGGCTGCTGGTGTTTAGGAGACACGGCGGAGGAGGGAAGACCCCGCTGACCCGGGCACTTTGCCTTGCAGAGAAGCACCGGAACCTGGCCAAGGCCGTTCTGCGGAGAAAAGGCATGCTGGGGGCCGCGCCGAACCGCCCCGACTCTTCAGCCAAAAGGTCTCAGCAGGCGCCACCTCCTCTCTGCAAGCGTTTCCAGAGAAGGCCTTAGTCCTCAGGATGGCAGACAAGAGTACTCACGTTTAAGGCGGAGCTAGTGATTCCCCTGACGCCAACCTGTCAGGTTCACTGTTTTAAAATGGGAAAAGGATGTGATGATGCCAGGGAAAGGGCTTTGCAGTAGTAGTTTTATCAGTGTAGGATCATCCCCTGTGTAAGCTAGGGAGGAGCATAGTGGCTGGGGTCCCCAGGAGTGAGGATGGAGAGCAGTGTGGGAACAGTCAGGACTGTTTTTTTTTTTTAACAGAATGGTAAACTCTTGAGGGCTGCATGGAACCTTATCCAGGGCCTCTTTTACAAATAAGAGCTAAAACAGGTGAAGGAATTTACCCAAGGACTTTCCGTTTTTCTGTTCTTTTGTTAAATAACGTGGGAAGGTGGGGCTTCTCCTGATTCATTAAAGAGGACGCGTGCTTTTCCCCAGGAGCAGCAAGGGGAGTGGTATGGGAGAAGTGCATATTCTGAGGAGCTGTAGCCAGATACAAGGGAGGCAGTGGGGGCTGTGTGACCAGGTAGAAGGCAAGTCAGTAGTGCAGTTAGTTCTTTTTCCATAGGAGCCAGGACTCTGGCTTTCCCTGTGAAATGTTGGCCCTTCATCTATGCTTGGTCTCTCCCCCATCTCTCAGGTCAGTGAAGTTTAACAAGGGCTATACTGCTCTTAGTCAGAATCCAGATGAAAACCTGGTGTCTCTTGACTCTGACAGGTGAGTATTCTCCTTGGAAATACCCCTTGGGGAGTGACTTGGGTAAAACTGCATATCACTTGCTTCGCTTATTGCCTGACTCTTCCAAGACCTTTTGTGCATGTTCCAGGGCTGCTGCTTCAGAGCACTATCCCTTCCCAGGATGACTTGCTTAGAGGACTCATAAGCTGCTCTTGGATTTGAAGCACCAACCTTGTCTGGGGAAATCATCCTGCCTATTATGTCTGCACTGTTAGTGACAGTGACCCTGCCCCTGCTGAAGCCAATGGAAGGAGCCATTTATACTCCTGGCAGATTCTGGGCTTGAGTTCTATGGTGTGTGGTCTTTGCTTCACAAGTCCCCCAGGCCCCACTGCGTGCTCTGCACCCTGCCATTTGTAGCTGTGCTTCACAGGCATCTCCCTGAACTGACTGTCTTTTTCTTCTCCTAGTGATGGGGAGCTGGAATCCAGATACTCCTCCGGGTATTCCTCTGCAGAGGCAAGTCCAGAGCGCCCTTCTGTGCAGAGCCAGGCTGCAGGCAGTGTTGCTGTCACTGCCAAATGCTTGTCTGGTTCCTGCTGTATGCACGGCACTGTGCCAGACTTCTGGTCTATTGTTCAGTCTTCTACTCTGCTCTCTTCCCTTAGCAGAAGTATAGGTGTCTGAGGAAGGCTATTGAAAGTCTAGGAGGCCATAGACACTTAGGGCTGGAAATGACCTCACAAGTCTTCTAATCCAGACCACCACTTAGAAAGGAATCCTCTTGATAAATCCCAGCTAAGCGTCTACTACCCTTTGCTTGTTTGAACACTTCCTGTAAGAGGGTACTCACTACCTCCAAGAAACCTTGCTGCCTGTCCTCCCCACAATACGCACAATTCCTTCTCCAGGTAGCTCTTAGAGACGTCTTCCTCACTCATTTGAACTGTCTCCTGCAGCTTGGACTTAGTGGTCCTGGTCCTGCCTCCAGTGTCACACAGTCATGTTAGTCTCCCTTCTTTTGAGTGTCTTTTATCTGACATCAGCATTCCTGTCCCTCCCTTTGCCGCCTTCCACCAAGCTTGCTTTTATCCAGGCCAAACAGCTTCTGTTCCTTCTGTTGTTCCATCTATGGGAACTGAGACCGAGACACTCTTGGCCTGTCCTTTTGGACATGTTTCCAGAACAACTGTCCCAGACAAAAACACGGGGACATAAAGTTTTGGCATGTGTGGCTTACTGCCTTTGACGGAGGTGAAGTGCTGGGGACCTGACTGTATACTGCTGGTATTTCTTCATTATTCTCCTGGAAACCCTTGGCTACCCCCTGAGTTTCTGCCAAAGAGAATACAAGCAATCTGAAAACTATCCTTTTTGAATATCTGGATGCCTAAGATTGTTAGAACTAGGAAAAGAAAAATTAGCAGGATCCAGAGAAAGGCCTACACTCTCCAGTCTCATTTTCCTTCTGCTCAGTGGAACTGGTGAAGCCAGGTTGACAGGTTCTACTTTGCAAGGACTGAGCCCTGCTGGCATCAAAGGATAACATGTCTAACTGGCAGTGCATAAAAAGCTGTTCCCCACCCCATTTCACTCTAACCCATATTCCTCTACCTTTCTACCCCATTGTTCTGGGATCATTATTCCATACTCTTCAGCCTTGATAGGGACCAATGTCGGTTCCCAGTGGGAATGGTTAGGACTTGGCTTTCAAGCATAATCTGGAATTTACATCAGCTGCCTCAGGATTCTTTACTGATGGCAGCTTCTCTGGGGGTTAGTGACCGTGCAGCCTGGACAGTAGTGGCTCAGGCCCCTGGCTGGCTGCCTCTCACTGCTGGCTGAGGCACTGGTAGGAAAAGGTAGCACTTCCTCTTGTAATCCAGGGATGTGTGGGGTGGGCCTGAGGTGGAGCATGAGCGGCAAGTTCCAGTAAGAGAATGTAGGTCTTCCTTTTGTGCAGCAGTTATTTCTGCCTTGCTGCCTGGCTGACAGTTCTCTCCTCTCCTGCTCTTAGCAGGTGAACCAGGATGTGAGCCGGCAGCTGCTCCAGGATGGGTATCACCTGGATGAGATTCCAGATGATGAGGACTTGGATCTCATTCCCCCCAAGCCTGTGGCCTCCTCAGCGTGCTCCTGCTGCTGGTGCTGTCTTGGGGACTCTTCCTCCTGCACCCTCCAGTAGACATAACCCCCTAAGATGGGTCCTGCTCACCATACCTGCAGAGTCCTGTGGGCCCTTCATAGGTCACAGCGCAGTGGGGAACTGCTGTCAGCCCCAGAATCACTGGAGGCACTGGCCCTCTGGGGAAGCCAGTGCCCTGCAGTTCCCCCTCGCCTGGTGCTTCTCAGGCCGGAGGCCCCCATCTGGGCCATAGGATGATAGGTGGAATTCTGCAGTTTTCCTCTGCTGTTGGAGCAGAGCTTGGAGAAATCACTTTAATAAGGGCAGGAACAGAGGAATTCTGGTTCTTACAGTGAGTGACAAAGTTGGCTAAGAGAAAAACTTAAAGACATCTTAACTGGTATTTGTCATCATGCTCTACAGAGGGAAAAGGAGAGCTTTTGTGCCCAGGCTGTGCTGGATGGTGGTGTATGGAGGCAGAAAATAGCACATTATGGCTTGTAGCTGTAATATTCAAAACTATTTGGGACCAGGTCATTGCAAGAAATTCCATATGCTCGCTTCCTCTTCCTAGCTCCAAGATGGGTTACATGTTTGACCTTCAAGAGAGCATAAAGCAGGGCCCTTTGACCCTCTTCTGGTTGTGTCTGTTTGACTGTGGCAGGGAGGACAGCAGGTTACTTGATGGTCCCTGGACCCAGAGCATCCCCATCTGGTCCAGCTGTCTGGGTGGGCTTAGTAACTTGGTCAGTCCATCCCTAGTTAGAGAAAAACTGCTCTACCATGTGGATAAAACTTGTCTTTCCTGGTTGCTATTCGTCACCTTGGTCTTAGATGGTATTTTCACCTAGTCTGAGCTAAGGTTGGGTGAAGGTATGGAGCTCACCCCAGGAGCCTGCAGTTTTTAATTACCAGCAGAGGGAGCTTCAGGAACAGTCAAGTGTCTGATTTTTAAAACTTGAGAAGGAGCAATGGCTGAGAAGTAGACTGGCGCAGCTGTGTGGGCTCTGACGTAGATGGAGGCTCACAGACAGGATGGGGAGGAGGGACCTGTGAAAGCTCCCACGGCCCCTGCCTGAGGAGATAATCGTGTCATTGTAGAGGGCCTCCCTTCACCCTAGCGAGAACCATTCTGTTGTGTCCAGATTCCTCTGACTGCAGCATGGGCCTCAGTGGATACTCGGGGATTGGACTTTACAGTAAACCTCTGGGTGCATCACAGCCTCTCTCAGCCCCCGGTCTGAGCACAGCAAAGACAGGAATCATTTCCTCTATGACCTCCACTAGATAACATTTCTCGCAATACCAGGCCTCTCTGGAACTTAGTTTTTTAGTGGGTTTTTGGTTTTTTTTCCGGCCTTACCAAACAGGACTGAATGGGAGTGGACAGAGTCCCTAGCCTAAGGGGTATGGTAGTCAAGATTAGGGTGTGGCCTCTACTTGGGATCCTACCTAGCCTGTTGCTTCATTTGGTTAGGACAGTAGCCTGAGTGTTTGACAGCTGCTAGGGGTAAAGATGGCATCAGGACCCCAAGACCAAGGCCCTCTGTTGGTCACTGCATAAATCACTGGTGTATTTGACTGCGCCTCTCCCTGGAATGTTCCAGAGCTGGTTGATCCTGTGTGGGTGGCATTACCTTTGTAGAAAAAGTTGCAGGAACACTGCCTGCCAGCAAGGCAGGGTAGAAATGGTCAATTGTTTGGGGCCAGAAGCCACAGGCTAAAATGTCACCAATACAGGCACAAAGGTGCCTAAAACCAAACTGCCTTAATTAAGAGTGCTGGGCGTTTGTAGGTGACAGCGCTCTGGGGAGGCAGGGGTGAACTCGGGCTTACCTCACAGATGGGAGTGGTACCGTACGGTGCTTACAGAGTACAGAACTCTTGGCTTAGGCTTCTACAGCCCTGTAAGTTTACAAGAATAAATACAATCATGCTAGTTGAGCTGTCTCTGTGTTGCAATAAGCATTTTTAAGGAAGGCCTAGACCAGTCACTGCTCCTGAATTCTGAAATGAACAAATAGCCTAATAGCCCCAACCGTGACATTCTTCTAAGGACCTCTCCTTTCTCCTGTTCCCAGCGGGCATCATTTTCAGGCCTGTTCACTGGAGACCATGGCTGGAACAGGCCTTTGTATATCACTTCTGTTTAGAATGAGTTCCCTTTGGCAGACTCTTTATTCCAGGTTTGTTGTTATTTTTTTTTTTAAGCTGAAAAAAATTCAATGGAGGCCAAAAAAATAAAACCCAGAACAGACTGGCTAACTGGAAGGTAATTTCCTAGAATTCCATCTGTACAGTTCTAGTGTGGGCAGCCGCCCCCAAAGATCCTTTTGTGTGAGTTTAATCCCCTACCCCACAGGAAGAAGCCACCAACCTGGGTCTCTGCTTACTCTGGGGGACAGGACCTAAGACTGCTGGTCAGAAACTTCAGTGGCACAACAGACAGCTGTGCAGCCTCCTGCAGAGGTGTGACCTGGAGGGGAGGCCCGGGGAGAGTGGATGGTTTTCCAGGTAGTTCCCGCCAGGGTAGGAAAAAAGTAGCTGTGTTTCTCCTCTCAGCACTAACTGGACTGTCCTGTCCCTGGGTCCCTCTATCCAGTGACTGAATGTGCTCTGGAGAAGTGGCTGACAAACTTTCTCTGTGAAGAGCCAGTCAGCACATTTGGCTTTGCAGGGCACACCGCCTGGCACACCTACTCACTTTGCCATTGCAGCCTGAGAGCAGCCGGACGGCATGTAAATGAATGGACGTGGCCAGGTCCAGCCTGCTGGCCTTAGCCTGCTGATCCGTGCCCTAAGTTCAACTGAAACGCTGGAGAGAAGGATCTTGCACTGACAGTGCCTTCTCCACTGGCTGCTGGGCCAGAGGGCCCCCAGCGTGCCTGCAAGCCCTGCAGCTGAGGCTCAGAGGGCCACCTCTCCCACGCCTTCCTATAAAAGGTCTCCGAGTCTAGCCTGCCTACCCCAGGGAGCTGCCTGACAGGAATAAAGCAAAACCTGGGCAGCATCCAGGGAGGGCTCTTTCGGCCCACTTCAGAGACTGGAATGGCAAAGGCTGAGTGCTGTTTAGCCCACAGGCTTCAACACAAGTGATCTTTAATTGCTTTGACACAGCCAGAGTGAGAGCAGTGTTAGTCCACAGGCCTCCCCTTTTCCCTCTGCAGCTGAGGAAACGGGCAGTCCCAGGGCCAGAACCCTGTTCTCACAAATGATTACCTACCTTCTTGCTGTGACTGATGCTGAACTAATCATAGATTTCATCAGCCTGCCTACTGCCGAGGCCGGCACAGAGCTGCTGCTTCCCATGCTGAGAAGAGACTGGTCCAAGTTCCGGGGGGATACAAGGGGAGTATCAGCCTTAGTCCTCCGTGGGCCCCTCCTACCAGGAGGAAGATGGTTCAGCCCAGGCCTGCTCAGGAGTCACTGCCTCTTCAAGTGTACTGCTCTACCCCAGCTCTTTCAGGGTATACCTAAAGAGCCCAGAGCAGGGAAGGGGTTCGGGCTGGGCTTGAGGATGAGAGGCTGGCCAGGATTAGGGTGACTGGCAGAGGAGAGCCAGGAAGGCTGTGGCCTCTACAGCAGACAGCAGGCACGGAACATCAGCAAGTCCTTAGGCACAGCGAGCTTCAGTGAGACACATTCGTTGGCTCCAATGAAGAGCACCCCACCACGCTGCAGGGGGATTGCTGCCTGGGCTGTGGGGGTGCTGGCTGTCACTGTCCCTTGCACCATCAGGAGAATGCTGGCGGAGTCCAGGGCCAAGACCTTGTATTCAGTGACGAAGCCAGGAACCTGGGCAGGAAGAAACTGCTGGATGGAGCAGTCTGAGCTGCTGTCAGCTCACAGGGGGCCCAGGACAACCCCAAGGGCAGTGAAAGGGAGACCTCTGACACCTCCCTCACTACTCAGGCTCTCGTCAGCACGGAAGCCCTTGTCTGGTCCCTGGTCCAGAGCAGAGTGGGCAGGCCCCACGGCCATGCCCGACCACGTGAGCTTGGCAGAGAGGAAATCCAGCCCTGGTACACTCCACATTGTGGCCCTTGCCAGGATTCTTCCCGCCACACAAGACACCCACCATGCCCCCTACTCACCTCCATCTTCATAACAGTGAAGTCTGGCACAGGGGGATCATAGATAAAGAGGTAGGGGTCTTCCTGGCTCCGGGCTGGAGGAAAGAGCCTGTCCTGGCTGGGGCTGGGGGTATAGCTGAGCATTTCACACAGAGTTGGCACATCGATGAACTTGGGTGTCAGGCCAGCACGCACTGTGTTGTCTGAACATGCCATGCACTCCACACAGTCTGGGGACAGACAGTTGTCATGTGCTAAGCTAATGAAGGATGCCTTGGAGTTTGGCTCTTCGGGGCTGGGCCTCCTAACCTGAGCACCATAAGCCCCCTGCAGAATTAGGTAAAAATGTGTGAATTGCATTTTCTGTGAGAATGGGCTTAGATATAACAAAAACAGATGACGTGTCACCCACATTGTCGGGGGAGTCATATTAACTCCTGGGGGAACCCCAACCCTCCCGACACTTTGTACTCTCCCCTTCTACCATAGAATCCTGTCATGAGTAGATAAACAGCCAACAGTGAAAACGTGACATGCTTCTGTGGCCATGTGTATTTTAACATAAAAGCTCTGCGCAGCTAGGACAGACATGGGAAGGCAGTGTGATGCAGGGGGGAGAACAGTGGCCTTGATCCAATACAGCCTGGATTCAGGTTGTTCTCACACATTTACAGGGCTTAACATGAGAGCGTCATGACCTCACAGGGTTGATGTGAGGATCCAGGCAGTGTCCAACACCAACATCATCCCTGTTGGTCACTTTCCTGCTGACCCCAGGAGCCCTGGGAGGTCAGAGCTTGACAGGACTTAAAGGTGGTCTCCTTGACCAGTCCCTCCTGTTTTTGTCCAGATGGGGAAACAAGGCCTGAGGGGGATGCAGTGGGGCTCACTGCTGAAATGGGGCTCACCTCCTTTCAGGTAGGCATGGGGCACGTTGGCCTCCAGAAACATGGCCTCCCCCGGCTTCAGGGTAAGCAGGTTCAGGAAGTAGATGGCAAAGCATCCGATATCACCTGGGTACTGCTGGTGCAGCTGCAGCAAGAGCTCCCCACAGATGTCCTCCATGTTGTTTCCAGCAGCCACTGAGGGTCACAGAGCCCCCCAAGGCCACTTAGGAACACTCGAACACTCGCTGGTGGTCACAGCCTCACCCTGGCCAGGGAGAGTCCTGGGCAAGTCCCTGCCCACAGGAGTCCAGAAATTGGTGGGCATGTGCGCGTAGTCACATCTCAGCCCTTGGGGGCCAGGCTTCCTTGATACTCCAGCCACACAGATGCCATCTCCCCTATCTTGACGTTCTACATGCCCACCACTATACTAGGCACTGAGGGCTAGAGTGTCGTCCTTTTGGACAGTGGTTCTCACCTCAGATTACTGACTTTTGGGCCAAATAAGTCTCTGTTGGAGCTGTTCTGTGCGTTGTAAGATGTTTAGCTGCATCCCTGACCTCTACCCACATACCACTGGCGCCCCAAACCCAGGTTTGACAAGCAAACGTATCCCCAGATTGCCAACCTGGAGATCGCCTGGTTGAGAACCACTGCTCAGGGAGCTCAAAATCTATTTAGGAGATAACCCAAGGGTTCCTAACTGTCCCAGTTAGCCCAGGCCTTCCCCCTTTCTTAGTACCAAAAATCATTCAGTCCCAGGTAAACTGAAATGGTTGGGCACCCCAGACAGCAAGAGGCAGAATGCAACCAACGGCTAAACTGTGTCCTGGAGACTGACCAGGGGAGAGTGAGCTCTGCCTGGGCTAGGGTGGCGAGGAAGGGCGGTGAGCCGAGTTTCCCCGAGTGTGCAGGGAAGGGGGAGTAACAGCAGAGCGTATCAGTGCGACATGAAGAAACCAGCTGGTCTGGATTGGAGGGTTGTTCTGAGTCTTACTGCCTATTCTGTGCTAAGCACTGGGGGCACACAAAGGTCAAGGAGACAGGTCCCCAGCCTAGAGAAAAGCCCAGTTTTAACAACTGTGCATGTGGTGACACCTACTCACAGGTGCTAAGGGCTGTACCTGACGTATGAACAGGTGTTACGAGAGCTCCAGGCAGAAGTAATCAGCTCTGCTGTGAGTGCAAGAAGCCCTCAAGGGAGGGGCATGCCAGCCAAGAAAACACCAAAAAAAAAGGTAGGGTAAGGTTGGGTAAAATAAATAGATCCTTGTGGCTCAAAGGTTGCAGGGGAAATGTAGAGACAGAACCAGAAGACTTCTGGAGTCGCCTGGAGAACGGGCTAGGCCTCATCACGTGTGCCACATAAGCTCCTAGCAGAGAGTCCATCCTGCCTGGTTTTTCACTGGCAGGATGTATTGACTCCCCAACCAAAAGGTGACACAACCACACCCATCACAGTCATTTCCTGAACTCTCCTTAGCACAAGGTTGGGCACAGAGCAGGTATTTAAGGAAAGATCTACTGATTGAGAGCTCTGGACTTGAGACATTTTAATAGTCTTCCAGGACAATCTGTCTCCAACCATCTAGAGAAGATGGACGATTAGCAAGCAGCACTCAACCTAGGGCCCTGCTCCACAGAGATGGGGGAAGTGCTAAGTCATTAACAGGCCATCTAAGTCAGGCCCATCTTTGTGTTCTCCTTGAGCAAGGGGTGACAGAGCACTATCCCCCCAGCCTAGTGTCTGTGCCAGGGGCCCAGGATGGGACTCCGACCCAGGCCTAAGACACCCACCTTGCTGGGAGATCCGCTTCACCAACAGGTTGAGCTGCTCCACCACTACCTTCTTCTCGCTTTTCATCAGGTGGGAGAAACAGCTCTGCAGGGCAGAGGCCACAGCCTGGGAGTCGCAGCTCATGCTCTGCTTCAGCTGTGTGGCTGCATCATCTCCAATTAGAAACTGGAACTCAGGCACCTCTGCAGGAAGGTCAGGCCAGGACCCGTATCAGGAATGGTTAAGATGGAGCCCAAAAAAGTGGGAAGCTGGAGAAGCCCTCCCCATATCATCCCTAACCAAGAAGCCAGGCAATGCTACGCAAGCTCTGCAGTCAAAGCGACTGCTCGCCACCAGCCCTCAGCAACCACACCTGAGCCTGGTCTCATGGGCCTGCTCCAAAGGCTTCAAGAATTCATGAGGTCAAATTAACCAAATGGTAAATCAACTATACTTCAGTAAAAATTAAAAAAAAAGAATTCATGAGGTCAGCCAGCCCCTCTATTCCTGTGACATTCTTCTGTTCTCTGCTACTGTTCCAGCTCTGCCCTGGGTTCCCCCATGCATTCTAGGCCCAATGCGCACGCTTTCAGCATTTTGCCCAACCTTACTTGTCAGAAAGGTGACAATCTCCTCAACTGGCCGGAAGCCACATAAGCCCTGGAAGGAGGTGAGGGCAATGGCGATCTCTGGCTTATGGTTGGCATCAGGGTAGTGCTGTGGAGCCTGGAGGTGCAGCTTCTCTGCCAGCTCCTGTGGGATGGCCAGGGGAAGAGGAGGAAGGTCATGGTACAGCCATCACGTAGCAGGACACCAGTCCCACTACCCTCCCCAGTCGCCAGGCAGCAGTGGCTTCTAACCCCTGGCAATGAGCCCAGTTAAGGTGTAATTCGGAAACTCAGGGTTCAGCCAACACAGGCAGGTGGGCTAAATCTGGGGGAGAGCTGGGACAAATTTATGGAGCCTGGCTTGCAAATCAGGAAACCCAAACACCAAGTCAAGCTCGACACTAACAAGCCGTGTGACTCTGGGTCAATCCCTCTTCTCTGGGTGTTACTTTCCCCATCTAGAAATGAGGACTCTGGACAGACAAATCCTTGGGCTGTGACTCACAGGCTTGTGCAGAAAAGACTACGGAAGCGGAGCTGAGGCAATGACTAGGGTACCTGCCCTGTCCTAGGTGACGTCTCCCAGAAAGCCAAGTGGAAAATGGCAGACATAAATAGTCCTGGGCTGACTGAGGGGAGGCCAGGAACAAGCTTGGAAAAACTCCCCTGGCACAGGCTGGTCAGTTGTCCACTTACCAGCAGCTGGCCTTGCAGAGCTAAACTGAGAGTTGTCGGGCCTGGATTTAGTTTTGGTCTGGAGCCTGGCATTGGGCGGGGAGCGGTGGGGGTGGGAAAACCTGCAGTAAAAGTTGTGGGAGGGCCTTGACATATGCTTTTCTCTACCTGATCTCTACAACCTACTCTGATCCTGTACCTTATTAGGGTGTGCCTGGATGGACAGGGCCGTTTCAACCGAGAGCACTTTGAAGAGGAAGGGCAGCTTGCCATTAAAGGTATCCTTGACCTTTGAGCCCAAGCAGTCCTGGTTCTCAGCAATCCACTGGCCTAGGGTCTTCTGTGAGATGCGGTTGTCAAGAATCTTGGCATCTCCTCGAGGGTGAGTCCCCATCCACAGCTGTAAAAACAGGAAACTTGGGAGGGAAAAAGGAAGAATCTGGCACCAACAGCTGGTGACCCAATTCATTACCCTGTGCTCCCCATAGGGCAGCTGATTCCTGAGATGGGCCTCCCAGGACTGGGTATAAATTCCATCACAGACACACATGGGGGCAGCAGACCCCAGAACATCAGGGGTCAGGAGACCAACACTCTAGTCCAGGCTCTGGCTCCAACCAGCTGTGGAGGCTTGGGGTAGTTATGCCCAGTCTCTGGGTCTCAGTTTCCTCATCTGTCCAGTGAGGTGAACGACACTTGCACTGTCAAGGTCAGTGAAAAGCTCTGACTCTCAAATGGCTCTGTGAGGGGTTTAAGTAAATTCATTTATTGCAGTCTCAGAAGCAGAGGCTAAAGTCTTCCTGTGCTTTGGCTTTTTCTCTGCTAAATGGGCAGAAGAAAGATACATTTTAGATTATTAAAAATGTCAAAGTTAGTCAAAGTAAAAATTTTAATTGTCAAGGAGGGCTGAATTAAATTCAGCAAGTGCTAAAAATATAGGTAAAATAAGATAAATTAAAATAAAATTTAGCAAGTGCTGAGAGTTCTTGGGGGAAGCAAGAGGATACTGGAAATCCCAGTCTACTATGACAAAACCTGACTTCTTTTGGTGCTACCGTCTGGATTCATCGACCTGCACAAATCTGAAGAGCCAAGAGGGCCTCCTCCTTCTTTGCTGCCTCCCCTTTCAGCCAATCCACATGACTTGCCTCTGGCCCTTTAAGTGGAAGAGTCCCTTGGTCTCACCTGTTGCTAAAGTAAGCTGAAATACAGCCCAGGTCTCACCTCTGCATATGGCTTGTCCTCTGAGATCCGAGCCAGTGGGTCACTGCTGGCCAGCAGCCGAGCCACTTCACTGTTAGAACCCATCTTCCCCCAGGCATACTGCTGCACCACACAGGACAGTGGGAATACTGGGGGTACAGACAGAAGGTCAGCTTCCACACTCCTGAGGCCTGACCCCACTTGTCCCGGGAAACTAGACTCGAGCAGAGGGTTTTGTCTGGGGAGAGTCAGTAAGAAGTTTGTAGGCTGTTAGCTGAGACCTTTCTCCTTTGCTGGCCTCGATGTAAAACGGGCAGTAAGGACCTTCTGCTGACTTGAGGCAGAAAGTTGTGTTGAGATGACCAGGAGGAAGTGGGAGGAACCTATTCCACCGCACCTCGTCTCGAAATAACCAACGCGCAGCTCCCTCTTTCTCGAGCTGCAATAATGACTCAATCCCCAACCTAAGTACCTCCTCTTTTCTGCCCGGCGCCCATTTATCTTTCCGCGGAGCCTTACAGGTGGCTTCAACCTGGCATATCAGGTCGGGAAGGGTCCGAGGACGCGACCCACCCCCACGGTAGTTGGCACCCCAGCCAACAGCCCACCTCGTTGAGCGGCCATCCTCGCGGAACCTGGTCTGGCTTCTCCCACGTATACCTTTCCCGGCAGCACCCGCGGCCCTTCTGCGCCCGGAGCTTCATGGGAAATGTAGTTCCTCGAGCGCCTTCTAGGAGGCGCGTGCGCCCCGCGCGTCCACTCCTCCCACTCTCCAGCTCTTAGGAGGACCGTCCACCAGCATAGAGGCCTCCAGCTCGCAATCTTGGGTCTCAGCATTCCTTCATTCATCACTCACCTGTCACATATTTATTGAGAACGTGCTAAATGCCACAGGCTGTTCTGAGGGCTGGAGATACATCCGAGAACGAGGTAAGAATTACTTTGCCTTTGTAGAACTGACATTCTGGTGACGGGAAGACTGCAAACAAATATAATAAGTAAATCACATAGTAAGTTGAAAGGTAAGTGCTACAAAAAGTAAGGGGAGTGGGTGGGAGTGCAAGGCAGTTTGTAGAATTTAAAAGGTTGTCTAGTTATGGCTCATTGAGAAGATGAGTTGGGAGCTCAGACTTGGAAGTGAAGAGAGAATGTTCTGGGCAGAAGATACAGCTAGAGCAAAGGCCCGGAGGTGGGAACGTGGAGATGTGCCTGTCATATTCTGGAGTAAATAGCAAAGAGGCCAGAGTGGCTGGAGCAGAGTTAGCACGATGGGCTGTCAGAAGTGAGGTGGCTGGAGAAGAAAGGCAGCAGGCAGAACTTTGTAGACTATTGTGAGGACTTCGGGTTTTCATTAGCAGGTTTGAGCAAAGAATTGCTGTGATCTCAGCAGGAATTCACCAATGCTTATGATGATGGCAAATGTCACATGCAAAGCCCTTAATCTGTCTGAGTTTCTTCCTCTGTAAACTGGGGATAATAATGCTGGACTGACCGGCTTGTTGGAGGGTCAGATGGGATGATGTGGGACTCAGGCAGGCAGTCAGTTCTTGGTGCTCCTCTGATTCTCCCTGACTTAAGAACTGCGGGACTCAAACCCCAGCTTCTCCTCCAGACTGAGCTGCTCACAAGACACAGACACCAAAGTCGGGTGAAGTCACCAGGAGCTCTGCATGGTGAAGGCTGGGCTGAGCCTTGACTGTGGAGTAATCTTTCTATATACTGCGGAGAATGAATCTGACATCTGGACCTCCTCAGTCAACAGCCCAGGAAGAGGGCAGCCAGCCAGAGGGGCCCCGGAGCATAACAGCCAAAGCTCCAGGGAATCTGGAGTGAGGATCTACAGTCCTGAGTCTGCCTTCCCTTCCGTGCCTTCCCCACTGTCCCCACAGCCTCTACCACCCATGTCCAGGGGAAGAGGGGCTACTGTTTCCTCTGCAGTGTTCTGCCCAACTGTGGACACTGACATCCCCAAGGGTCCCCTGGCTCAAATAAATCAGCCTGCATTTCAAAGTAAGCTTCACCATACACCAAGGAATAATAAAACAGAAAACACAAGAATCATACAAACAGCATATCTCACATAACCTCCTACCTTTGAACCCCCTCATCCCTTCTCCCTGGACCCCTCCTAGACATATGAACCTTCTGGGAGAAAAATGAGGGATTAGTCTAGGCACAGGGGGTTCTTGGAGCACCTCGCAATACCACCATTTCTGAAGTCCAAGTCACTTCCTCATAGTATCTCTGCCTAGAGAAGGGAGAACGTAGATTGTGGGGACAGGCAGAGCCACCACCCCACACCACCCTCCCTACACACAGAAAAATATATCTGTAAGGGAAACTAGGGTGTTTGGGGGAACCTAGAACCTTTCACCCTTAACTCTCGCTTGTTAAGCTGTAATAGAATTGATCACACTTTATTATCTAGTGATGATCTGCTTTCCTCCCTCTCTCCTTCTAGGCTGTGTTTAATTCAGCTTCACATTTCTGCCAGTGCCAAGTTGAGGGCTCCAGCTGTAATAGCAGCTAACATTCATTGTTTGTTATGTACTAAATACTGTGCTAGCCCTTTTCAAGAATTCTCTCACTTCATTCTCAAGACAAGCCAATGAGGTAGGTACTGCCATTAGCCCCATTTTTGAGATGAGAAAAATGGATCTCAGAGAGGTTAACTGGTCCAAGAGCAAACAGTTGCAACCTGCTATACGTCTTCCCTTGTTGAATAAGTGAATGAGTGAATAAATGCATGATGTCGCTTCCACAGGGAAGCAGACAGATCTCAGGGATCTTCAGAGACAGATGAGTGGGAAAGCTTCAAACTGAAGATATCAAATTCCATTCTTTCTTCACCAATCCATCAATGTACTCAGCTGGGCAGATGAGGAGGAGGCAGGACAGCCTTATGTTGTGTGGACTGCTCTCCTCTCAGGCTGCAGACTGCAAAGATCTCTGTATGCTGCCTGTGATGCTGTGACATAACTGGCTCCTGACCAGAGCTCCTAAAACCTTTGTAATTTCCTAAACGGTAAGAGTGCTAGGGGCATCTTTGGTTCTAATATTTGGTCTTTGACCCTGGTTCCTGACAAAGAGTTCCTAAATTCCTTGGAATTTCCTGGGTGATTGGAGCATTTTTTGTCTTAATGAGGCAACTGTTGGTGGGTTCCCAGATTGCTGCAGGATAGGGGATGTTCACTAGAAAGACTAAGCCATGGTTAGAAGCTTGGAACCTTCAGCCACATCTCCCATCCTACAGGGAGGGGAGCGGGGAGAGACTGAGTTAACAATTCATCATCCCTACATGGTGAAGCCTCCATAAAAATCCCTGAACTACTAGGTTTAGAGAGCTTCCAGGTTGGTGAACACATCCCCTTACCAGAAAGATGGCACACCTCTGCTCTACAAGGAAAGAATTTCCTATGCTCAGGACCCATACCTCACCCCATGTATCTCTTCAACTGGCTGTTCATCTGTCTATCATATCCTTTATTATATAATAAGCCCAGAAACATGTTTCCCTGAGTTCTGGAAGCCATTCTAGCAAATTATTGAACCTAGGGAGGGGATCATGGGAACCTCAATTATAGAAATACAGGTGACAATGACCTGGGCCTTGCAATTGGCCTCTAAAGTGGGGACAGTTTTTTTTTTTTTTGAGAATATAATCGTCTCTAAATTCAAATGGTAAATTTATTTTTTTCACTTTTCATATTAGGTAGAATTGTTACGATTTGACTGCACATATACAATATATTGCATGTAAATACAGATATACTGCACATTTTTTTAGTTTACATATATGTACTGTTCATTGTTTCCAAGAACAGTTTAGAGCTTTAGCTTTTTTTTTTTAATGAGGGGGAGGTAATTGGGTTTATTTATTTATTTATATTTGGAGGAGGTACTGGGGATTGAACCCAGGACCTTGTGTATGCTAAGCATGCACTCTACTGCTTGAGCTATAGCTGCCCCCCTAGAGCTTTAGCTTTTTAAACTTACACAGTTATCAAAGGAATAAAGCCAACCACAAAATAAGAATCAACAGAATGCAGTGATCCAATTACAAAGGACAATCAAATGTGCTTACATATATTCAAGAAATCGGTCATCTAAGTTATAAATAATAAGTAGTTAATTTATGTCCTTTTTTTTAGATTCCACATATAAGTGATACTATATGGCATTTTTCTTTCTCTTTCCAGCCTATGAAATGGGGACAGTCTTGTGGGACTGAGCCCTTACTTAACCTGTGAATCTGACATGTTAGCTACTATCCAGGTAGACAGTGTCAGAACTGAATTGAATGACCTCCATCTGGTGTCAGAGACTTGGTCACATGTCTGGTTAGAGAAATGTTCTGTGTGACTAGTAAAGGAGAAACACAAGAGTTTTCCCTTACACTGCCCTCAGAGGGGTGGCCGGGGGGGTTAGGGTAAGTAGTTTCTAAGGGGACGCAAACATAGATCCTTTCCCATTCTTCCCATTCTCCCTCCTGAGGACATTTCCTGGAGAAATGTTGATCTGGACCCAGAAAAGTGGATGAGGGAAACAGTAAACATTTACTACATGCCTATCATGTGCTTGGTACTATGTTGGTGCTGGAAATACAAGAGTGAGCAAACCAGATGCTACTCCTACCCTTGTGGAGCTTACAGTCTAGTGTGAGAGAGACACAAACAAATAACCACCTATATAAGTGTGGACTTAGACAATCTCTGCAGTAGGTGTTATGAAAGAAAAGCGCAGGATAATATAGAGTTTATGTTGTGGGGGAGGGGCTGATCTAATCTATGGTGAAGAGAAGCTGCTCCTGAGGAAGGGGCATATAGGCTTGGATTTGAAGGATAAGTAGGAGTTAACTAGAGGATGATGAGGGCATGGGCTAAGAGCACATCAGAAAGAGGGAAAGTCCTGTGCAAAGGCACTGAGGCAGGAAGTTTGAGGAACTGAAAAGTCTCTAGGAGGGCTAGAATGAACAGTGGTGGGGGGTAGGGATAAGCACAAGAAGGAATGGGAAGGATTGATAGGTGGGGGCAGATCTTGCAGGACCTAGAGGCCAAACTAAGAAGTTGAGCCTTTACAGAAAATAATTGAAGGGTTTTTTTAACCTTTTTTTTAAAGTCAGTATAGTTAATTTACAGTGTTGGGTTAGTTTCAAGTGTACAGCAAAGTGATTGTTTCATATATATATTGTTTTTCAGATTTTTTTCCATTATAGAAGATTACAAGTTATTGAATATTGTTCCCTCTGCTATACAGTACGCCCTTGTTGTTTATTTGTTTTATATATAGTAGTGTGTATACGTTAATCCCAAACTTAATCCCTCCTCCCAATTGAAGAATTTTAGACAGAAACTTCCATAGTAATTTTGCGCCCTTTGAATTATCTCTTGTTACAACATGAACAACAGACTGATTACTGTACTCATCCAGAGTAAGGAATGACAGTGGCTGGATTCAGTGGCAGCAGAAACGTACAAAGCCAGAAATAAGGGGCATGAATCGGCTATCTCCCTCATGGCTGATGGCTCTATTGCTGAACTCCCTCATTCACTTAGTAAATGCTTGATGCCCCGGTTAATCCTAGCTCAGGCCCTAAACCTGTCTGTGCTCAGGGATCCTTATCCCTAAAACGATAAAACTTGACCTCAGGAGGCAAGGCCTAAAAGAAGCAGTGCTCAGCTAGGATGGGGACAGCCTCTCTGCTCGGCGCTTACAACCAGAACCTTTTCCTGGCTCTCGAGTCAGGCACTCCATTCCCCACTCCCACCGTAGGCTCGTACTTTGGCTCCCTGCCTGGACTAGTGCATACTTCCCAAACTTGCCTTCCAAGGAAATGAAGGGGTTAAGCTTCCAGTTCCACTATGGGGAGTTTACTTTGGGGGATTCCCAATACAAAGGTGGAAGCCATCTGACCGAGCGGCAGCTGGGAACGGCTCCGGGCCCGCCTCTGGCTTCCCGACAGTGGGTGCCCGCGCGACCACTGAAGCACAGTCAGAGGGAAGGAGCGGATGGAAGCGGAACGCCCACCCACTTCTCGGTAGTGGGTTGCAGGAAGGGGAAGCGGCACTCTGTGACGTCACATGACCACGCCTCTCGGGGAGGGCGTTGCGCCTGCGCCAGAACGGCTGCCTCGCTCCCGGAAGTGGAGGATCTGCGCGAAGATAGCTGCTGGGTTTGGGTGCCCGGAGGCAGAAGCGCTCGCGGAGCTCGCCCGTCAGCCCCCGACCGCCATGTCGGCCTTCGACGCTAACCCCTTTGCGGACCCAGTGGACGTGAACCCCTTCCAGGTAGAGCCTTCATGTTACAGCTGTCTCTAATACCAAAGGCCGCCGCCTGGGCCTCTTTCGCTAGAACCGGGAGACGTGGCTTAAGAGGGACGGGCTGTCTGCCCAATGGGAGAGCGGGCTCTGTGGGCTGGCCTATCGTAGCGTCTGAGGGCGGGACTAACTGCAGGTGGAACAGCGGAGGGGGAGGGGCACCTTACTTTGGGGAGAGGTGGGACGATCTACTAGCCTGGGACTAGTAGCCCCTCAGACTGGACACTGCTAGGGAAGGGGACTGGAGCAGACATGATCAGGGAGACCCCACCCCCAGCTTCAGGGAGAGAAGCGACTTCATCTGAGGGGAGAAATGTGGCTACCACATCCCGCAATCTTGGGGAGACACCAGCCTTGAGTCCCTTTAGGAGAGAGGGTGACAGCAACAAAATGAAGCAGTGGAAGCCTCTAGTGGGATGGAAAAATGTGAGAAAAATCTCAAGACAGCCCCCCCACACACACACAGCCAGTTAACATGTAAGTTATAGGAGATCCCCTGAGATTTATCAGGAAAGGAAGGCTGGTAACCTAAACAATTCTACACCTTGGCCCATGGGTCTGGTTTGGACTGGGTTTTGGCTAGATGGGAGAGCTCAGGTTAGGGAGGGAGGAGGCGTGAGGGGCCTCTGAGGGTCTTGAAGCACAAGGAATGTTGGTCTTGTGGACCTGTGTGTGGTGACAGGGTAATTGAGATGTGCTGACCTATGAGCTGGTCTGACGTTTTGAACAAACGATCGAAGAAGAAACAGACTTCTACTTAAAGCCAAAGCCTTTCTACCTTTGAGCTAAGAGCACAGGGATATTCTTTTCCATGATGAAGGGTTGGGACTCCTGTTAGATCCAAAACTCCTGTGCCTTTTTTCGCGTCTGCTCAAAACCAGTTCCAGGGAAGCTTGCTTCTGCTAACTGGTGATTTATGAGCCCTGAGCTTTCTGCTTTGTCAGGATGTCACCAGGCACATTAACTCATCCTGCTTGCACTTTGTTTTGGTCATTGGCAATTTCAAAGTTTCCTGCAGGTGTAAGGGAAGTCCTTGGAGGGGTCCTTCCTGAAACTCACAGCATGAGCTTTCCTACCCTGAATCCCTTCAAGGGTCAGAACAAACACAAAGGAGACCAGAAGGAAATAATTACATGCTATCTTAGAGTGAAAAGTTTATGCCTCTTTTTTGGTCTTAAGGTGACTTGGTTAATGGGAGCCCTCAAGGCAAATTTTGGTAGCTTGTTCTTTGTAACATCAGAGAATTCCTAACATTCCTCTTGTAGCCTAATGCTTCTTGACAGAACTGTTTGGAGGACTTTACCTCTTATATAACGGAATCATCTCTGTTTGAGTAAAGAAAGAACATTTGCATTTTTCTCTGCCAGTGTCTTCAGATAACTGTTTTGCTTTAATTATAAAAATGCTGTATGATACTGGAGTTTGAATTTTAGAAAGGATCTAGTAGCCTTTGTGTGTGCTGAGTGATGATGTGCCTTTTTTTCCTGTCCTGTCAGAATCAGAAGTAAAACGTCTGCTGCTATCCTGTAAGAGGCAGTCAGCTATCCAAAGATGCAGGGAGCTTGCCCCCAGTGCTAGCAATGGGCAAGATAGCTGGCCTAAATTCTGCCCTCTATTAATAGCAGCTTGAAAGTCTTAAACCACATCTCCATCCCCAGGAATGATTGTGCAAACTGTGGTGGAAGTAACTTCTGCATTCAAGCAAGATAGTCTGTCCATCAGGCAGCCCCAGGATATAGCAAGACAGGAAGCAGCTGTGGTCCTGTAAAGAGCAACATCTGGTGGGGAATCCTGTGTGGGAAGAAGAGGGCTGGCTGGCTGTGATTCTTCTCCTCCTTACCCTGGGCTGGGTTTTTCCTCTTGGTGCACAGTTGTGTCGGGAGAGGGAACTTTGGACGTGAGGCCCCCAAGCTCCTTCTCCTGGAGAGCTGCCCTCCCTCTCCTCGTGGTGGTGGTGTGTTCCTCCCTGACTGCCAGGGCTTGGACATTGGGAGGGTGCAGCCCTTGGGTGACTGGGTGTGAGCCCAGTTTCATTTACCCAGGGTGTTGGCACAGAGCTCAGGAGGGAGCAGGTAGAGAGGCGACAGGCATAGAGTGTCACACCTAGCCAGCTTTTCATTTTTTCCCTTCGCTCCATGGTGCTTACGAAAATATACTTAGTGTTCAGAGTCTATGGTGGACTATTAGAGCTGGGAGTGTCCTCAGAAATGTCTTCTAACCTCTTCAGTTTAGAGATGAGGAAACCAGGAACCCAGTGAGGAAGGGACACGCCAGAGTCACCAGCTAATTCGAAGCAGGAAGGGTCTCAGACTTGGGTCCATTCCCAGGACAGTGCTGTTTGAAAGGTTTTGGAAGCTCAAAGTCTTAAACCGCCTTGGGGTTATTTAGGCCAGGTAAGGAAAGAATGTAACTTCATCACCATTATCACCATTCTTAAAATGAGAGTTTTGGTGGAGTGAAAGTAACAAACTAGTATTAGGTAAGCTTTTTGTTGTTGTTCAGTGTGTGGGGCTGGAATAATACAGATTGTATTGTGCTTTTTAAGACCTTACTTTAAAGCAGCATATGTTCTGAGTAATACCAGTCCTAAAAGGTGCTCAGGGTTCTGTGGTCAAATTAGTTTGGGAATTATTTTTCTTGAAGATTGACCAGGTTTGTTAGTTGGTTAAAGTCTCTGAGAAACCCTACAATAAAGATATTTGCTCAATTTTATTTGACGCAGCATTTCTCAAACTTACTCAACCATGGAATCCTTTTTCTGCTAACTCGTGTAACGTCCCCTGAGGCTCCTGGTGCACCTTTAAGTTGACTTCCTTACACACGTTATGTCTCCGCACCCTACTTCCATCTTCACCCCAAACTGTGGGCGTGGGCTTCTGTGACCTCCACCTTGTGGATCGTTACAATGGGATTATTAGAAAACTTCCTGCAAAGTAAGACTTTGAATGGGAGGTTGTCCCAAGAGTGCAGCAGAGGCTTATGAAACTCCTAGAAGGAAGCAGGAAACTGCAAGCCACGTGTGGCTGATTTCCCAACCTCCATTGGCACTCCCTAATCCCTCTGTTAGCTGTGGCGCATCTGCTTTGTACCATCTGGGTAGGCAGGTCCTGCTTTGAGCTGATTCCAGCATGTCTGTTTCCAAACGTTTCTCAGTAAGTCCAGTCAGGTGATGAAGAGGTTGAGGGCCACAAGTGGGCACTGTGCTGCCCATTTTGTTTTTCAGCAGTCCGCTAAGAAGCAGGTCACCCAGGCAAATGTCTGGGCTGCTTTCCTACTTGGCGTTTCTGCCAGGTTACCACAGGCAGCCGGCGTTGACCTCAGAGAGGGGGAGTGGACTAGCTAGCTGGTGGTGCTGAACAGAGAAAGCCTTTCAGCACTCGTGAGTTCCCATATCACACCATATCACTTTCATACGCTGCCTCCTTGCAGTTAAAAGATAATCTCAGTGGTGTGGCTGCTTCCCAAGGATTTAAAACATATCTCCCCTGTGGGAGGAGAAAGTGGCAGCAGAAATGTGATTTGGGTGTGAACAGTTACATGAAGTTCCCTGCTCAGACAGTGAGGGCTTTGTTACTTCCCAGAGAGGGTGGGCTCCAGCTTGACTGTAGCTTTGGGAATTCTCAAAACCACTGGATGGACCTGGTAGAACTTTCCTGTAAAATAGGAGCATTGTCTCAAGAAATTTGAAAATGCAAGTTTCATATAGTTTTAACTGCCTTTATGGTTGGCACCTGGAACCATGCTGGGTGTTAGCGCTTGGCCAGAGGACACAGCTTAACTTTGACCTTACACTTCTGTTAATTTTTCTTTGGAGCCACTTGGTTTAGGATGATCCTGAGTTCAGAGACCTGGTAATGTTTAACCAGGACAAACAAGGGGTACTTGCCACTTCTTCAGGGAAGTGCACATTCATTAACAAGGCACGGCCCGTCCAGCAGTGCTTCCTTGAGATGCTGTCGCATCCGTGCACATCACTGAGCGGCTGCAGCTCCGAGGGCCTGTGCAGGAGACCAAGGTGAATGGGCACATGGCCTGCAAGAGCTTCTGACCTGGCAGGAGAGCTAAGAAATGCTCACATAGGTACAAGGAGGACAGCCAGAACTTGCCAGGAGGATCTGTGAGGGATCGGAAGAGGAATGGGGCAGAGTCCTGGGGTAGGAAGGGCCTGGGCTGAGAGCAGAAAGCCTGGCATATGGCAGGAGAGGGTGTTTCAGGTGAAGGAGCACCACGAACCTAAAGTCACTTCTGTGTGTTGTCGCCCCCACAGCCCCAAGCACCTCCTCACTCTGGGATCCTGTGGTCTCTTTGGGAGCCGTGGGCCCGAGATTTGTCTGCTGCTTGTGATGCACATGCTCACCTGGCCAGTCTGTCTCGAAATTCTCTCCGTCCTCAGCCTCTTTGTCCTGGTAACTCTCACCTCCTCCTGCCTGTACTGGACTTTGTTCTCACTGTGTACCTCTCCGAGTAAGTTCTTCCACTTCTGTGACTTCAGAGTAGCATCCACATCCCAGTGACCCCAGATCTAGATTCTAGCTCTTACCTTTCTCCTGAGCTTCAAACCAGTGTTTCCAGCTCTCACTCGGACATTTCCACCCTTTGCAACCAGGTGTATTTTATGGGTCTCTCCAGTCCAGTCCAGTATCTTCGGATCCTCTCTCCGCTCCCATCCACCTGATCGTGAGGAATCTGTTCCTCTTCCCCCATGACCTGTCTTGCTCAGTGGTGGCACTGTTCGCCAGTGCCCCAGGCTCATGACCCCACTCACTCAACTCCTTCCTTTCCTTCCCTTCACCCGCCTTCTTGCCCTGCAGTAACTCCATACACCGGCCAACCCAGAGAGTGCCCGAGCCTGTGTGGCGTCTACCTGAGAAGGGTCTCTGGAGTTCCGCCCCTCTTCTCTGTCCCAGGGTCATCCTGTAGTTCAGTCCTCACTATCAGCCACCTGGACACTTGTGTCACAGCCAGTCTTC